AGAGAGAGAGAGAGAGAGAGAGAGAGAGAGAGAGAGAGAGAGAGAGAAGAGCTGGGCCTAGCAGTGAACTTCTGCAACCCCAGCTTTCAGGAAGATAATAACAGTTATAGTAGCCTGGGTTACACACTAAGACTCTTTTCTCAGGAAAAACAAACTAAACCTGAAAGCCGAGAAGGCTTTCTGCCAATATGTGCTTGGAGATCAGCATGAAAATTCATCTATAAGGAAAAGATATTTGACCAAGGACACAATTTCATAGGGGCCAGCTTAAGAAATGGGAAATCAGTTCTGGAGACCGCAGGAGGAGGGCAGGACAAGTCAAGAGGTTGGGGATCCCAGTCCAGAAGACTTTGAACCTTAGCCTTCCTCCAGATAGCAATGAGGAGCCATGGTGGTGTGTGAGCAGGAAAGGGTTGGAATGATTGGAATCCAAAATTTCTCAGGAAGGCTAGAAGACAGCGACTTCAAAGTCAGCATAGCTACAAAAGACAAGATCTTCCTGTGTTGCCCAAGATGAATGTCTGTGTTCTGTGATCAGCCTGAGTAACTGGGTCCAGAGGTTTGTCACCATGTGAACCAATCTTTATGTCTTGAATGGGGTGCATGTGTGTGTATGTGTGTGTGTGTGTATGTGTGTGTGTGTGTCCCTAAGCAGGGACTCTCAATTTACGTTTAGCTCCCCACCTTTTTAAAGAGACTCTTTCTGTCTCAGGCATGAGTTCGCAACAGTAACCTCAACACTCATGAGGCTGAGGCAAGAAGATTTGCTGTGAGCTTGAGACTAGCCTGAGCTACATATGAATCCCGGGCCAAGCTGAGCTGCAGAGTGAGACCATCTCGAAATAAAATTAAAAGCAAAAATTTAGATGAGTCAGGTATGCTCTCAAGAGGCTGAGGCAGAAGGCTTATGAGTTTGAGACTAGCCTGGCCTATAATGACAAGACTTTGTAAAAAAAAAAAAAAAAAACAAAACCACAGAGAAAGAGTTAGAATCCCAGTATAGTATCATAGTATTCCAATAATGAGAGTAGCTAGGTATGGTAGTGCACGTCTTTAATCCCAGTTTGAGAGTCAGAGGCAGGCAGATCTCTGTGACTTCAAGACCAGACTGGTCTACAGAGCAAGTTCTAGGAAGCTAGGGATACATACATAGAGAGACCTTGTTTCAAAACAAAGAAGGAAAAGAACAAACGTAAAATCACCCTAACAGGTAAGGGCAGGGAAACAAACTCTCTAGGAGCCCCTCCTTGTCCCCACTCTAGGTCCCAGACCCCAGATTTTATGGGCATCAGTACCTCCCCGCTACACTGGAATTGCTGCTACATATAGAACTACAGAAATCATCATCATCATCATCATCATCATCATCATCATCATCATTACTACTACTGCTACTATTTTGTTCTAGGCAGCATGGATAATTTTCTTTAAAGGGCAGTTGGTTATCCCGACAACTGTAGAGCCGCTATTGTACTAGTGGGTATATACAACCTGGCAGGTCTTTATTGTAACATTCAGCTCTGAGTAAAAGCAATGATGTCTGCAGTCCAGTACCCAGTGGCATACATTGCAGCTTCCAGTATTAGGAAAGTTAGCCAGCAGAGGGTACGAACTTAACTTTATCGTCAGCTCTGCCTCCTCCCAACCGTGTGACCCTGGGCAAATGCTTGCCTTCTCTGTTTGATCTCCTACTCCACAGTGTGACTCTGCTTCTAACCTCAGCCCGCCCAGCTCTACCCCAGCACACTCACCATGCTCACGTGGCCCAGCAGCCAGTGGCGGCCTGGAGGTTCTGGGAAGCAGCTCAACCTGCGACAAGTGGTGCGGAAGTCCCAACATAATTTGAATACCTGCAGGAGCAGGCGGAAGAGGAAGAAAAGGAGGAAGAGCAGCAGCGCGGACACGGCATACACTCGAAAGGCTGTCTTCTCCAGTCCCAGCAGGTGCAACAAGTAGTCCGTGATGGGCAGCATCCTAGAAGACATGCGGGACTCATCAACACAGGTGGGGAGGGCCCAGGCTCCCGCAGGCCTGTTCCGTACACAGGAGGGTCCCCGAGTGTCTCTGGGGTCACCCCCAACCTTCACTTTAGCAGCACACACACCTTTCTTTAGAAGACAAAGACAACTTTAAAAGGGGGCTTATTTTTAATTATGTGTATCGGGGTGAAGGGATCGTGCTTGTGAGTGAAGTACCTGTGGAGGCTAGAAGAGGGTTCAGAGTTATAGAGTTATGAGTGCTGAGAGCCCCAAATTCAAGTCCTCTGGAAGAGAAGTCGTTGCTTTTAGCTGCTGAGCCATCTCTCCAGCCCTAATCCCCACTACTTTTCTTTCTTTTCTATTTATTTAATTTTCATTTGTTTATTTGTTTGTTTTTGCAGTACTGGAAGGAGATGCTATATCCAGAAGGTAGTCTAAACTCCCTCTATGTCTCCAGCCACAAGACACAATCTGGAAACTTCTATCATAGGACTTTCTCTGTTTGGGCACCAATAGAGTCCCAGGAAGCAATACACACACATGCACGCACACACATGCACATGCACGCATGCACACGCGCGCGCACACACACACACACACACACACACACACACAAAGTAGCCCTCAACCAATAACTCTAGAGTTTTCGTAAATCAACACTCCAGCTATTTCTCTCTCTCTCTCTCTCTCTCTCTCTCTCTCTCTCTCTCTCTCTCTCTCGTGTGTGTAAGATTAACTCCAGCAGTCCAAAGCAAGAACATCCCTGACTGGCTTTCTACCTCTCTGTCTTACTTTCCTTCTTCTTTTTCTTCTTTCTTTTTTCAATTAAGGTGAAGATTCACATAATATACAACACCATTTTTCTTAATTTTTGGATGTAAAGTGCTTAACTGTGTACATGTGTCTGTGTGTGCATGTGTCTATATGTGCACTCATGTGCAGGTGTCTTTGGAGGCCAGAAGCAATGGATCCCCAGGACTGGAATTATGGGCAGTTGTGAGTCAGCTAACTTGGGTGCTGAGAGCAGAACCCCCTTCTCTGTAAGAGCAGTGCACACTCTTCACCGCTGAGCCATCCTCCTAGGCACTAAAATGACATTTAAATAAGCAATTCCTACTACAGAATATTATTTGGCCACAAAAAAGAATAGCCTGTTATTTTTGATCAAAAAGGTACTGGAAGACATCATGTTAAGTAAATCAAGCCACTCAGCCTTCTTTCATTGATTGGCTGGTTGAAATGGTCTTGTTAAATGTTCAGGCTGACCTTTAAATCCTGGTATGAAGTGAAATTCTTCTTCAGCCTCACGAGTGACTGGAACTGCAGGTTTGTGCAACCATGCAGGGCAAGGGAAATAAATCAAATGCAGAAAAATAAATGGCAGGCCAAGCATGGAGGCACATGTTTATGTTCCCAGAACTCAAAAACTGAGGCAGAAGGATTGCAAGTGAGGCTAACCTGGGCTCCATAGCTAGATTTTCTCAGATCAGAGAAGAGGGCAGGCAAAAAACTTAAATTCTCTCTCATATGAAAATTTTTTTCTTTAAGTTGACTGAGATATAAAGGTGATTATTTAGAGTTTGAAAGAAATCTGGGCCAGGTGGCACAAGTCAGCAATTCCAATACTTGGAAGAGTGAGACAAGAGGATTAAAAGTACCCAAGGCCAGCCAGGGTGTGGTGGCACACACCACTAATCCCAGCACTCTGGAGGCAGAGGGAGGCGGATCTCTGAGTCTCAGGCCAGCCTGGTCTGCAGAGCAAGTTCCAGGACAGCCAGGGCTACACAGAGAAACCCATCCCAAAACAAAAACAAAAACAAACAAACAAGCAAAAAAACACAAGTAGTAGGGGCAGGGCAGAAGTGCTGACTCAGTGGTTTTTCACATCAAATCTCCTCAGGCAGCTCTCAACCACCTGTAACTCCAGCTCCAGGGATCTGACACCCTCTTCTGGCTTCCTCGGATACCCACCTACGTACATGTGCATACACACATTGGCCACACATGCACGTACACATAAAAGCAAAAGAAAAAAATTACATCCAAGGTTTGTTCAGATCACACAACAAGGTCCAAGCCAGACCAACAACATGGTGAGACTCGGTCTCAAAATAAAGAGAAAATAATGGGTTGGGAAACCAAGTGTGGTGGTGTGTGCCTGAAATCCCAGCACCTGAGAGGCTCAGGCTGAGGCCAGCCTAGGCTACACAGTACGTTCCGAGCCAGAACGGCCTCAGAGTACATACATCCTGCCACAAACACAATTAATAAAGATTATGAAATTCATAAGGAAGTAAAAGTTTCACTGACATTTAGCATCTTCACAACCTTGTGCAATCATTGCCTCTATCTGGAACATTTTTATCAGAACAATACCAGTGCCCATTAGCAATCACTCCCCTGTTCTTCCTTCCGTATGAATCTTAACAGGCAGATCTTTGAGGCAGGCTAGCCTCAAACATGCTGTGTAACTGAGACTGGATCTGATCCTCTTACAGGGTGCTACCTCTTGAGTGTGGGGATGAAGTCACACCCAGTTTTCTCAGTGCCTGATCTTCCTTGTGATGCTATGGGCTTTCTTCACTTTCACACAGTGGCACCATTCTTGCCTGGCTTAGTCCCTCTACCTCTTCCGAATCTGGTCACATTGGCAAGGATCTTCGCTGTGATCTTTGTATTGCTGAATAGTATCCCATTCTCTGGACATGCCACACTTTGGTTCAACCACTCATCTCTTGATGGATGTTTGGACTGCTTCCGTCTCTGGGGATGGGAAAACGCGCTACTCTGAGCATGTACCTATATGTATTCCTTTGGGTACCTGCTTTCAATTCTCTCGACTCTCTTCTTTCTTTACTGGTATTTGCTGAAATCGCTTCTCAGCCCAGTTACTGGTGTCCAGATACTTGACTTAGGGTCAGCTCCTGAAAGAAACAAAGTGGTGACAAGAATTGAAGAGTGAGCAGGGATACAGTGCTCCCCATGCATGGCACCACACACCACAGGCATGTGAGGCCTTCATCTCAGGGAATCTCACACAGCTTCCCTGGAGTAGATTTTCCAGACCAGGAGATTGAATCCCAGCTCCATTCCTCCAGGTCAGAGAACTGATAGGTACCGGAGACCATGTCAGCTGTAGGGCACCTGCCTAGAATCCCCGCAGTGAGGGGCTAAGACATGGCTCAGGGCAAACACTGGCTCAGCATGCCCAAAGCTCTCAGTTTCAGTCTCAGCAATACAAAAAACTAAAGGAGAACCAAAAAATAAGGTTTTGGTGAGAAAGTGGAGAAACTGGAATCTGGGCATGTTGAGAAGAATATAAAGAGTTCCACAACTCTGTAAGGTGCTCTGATCGTCCCCGTAAGGATGAGGCAGGTGTGTGGTGGCGCCTGCACTTTTCCGCGCTCAGAGGGTGGAAGCAGGAGGCGCAGGAATTCAGGATCACCCTCAGTTACACGGTAAGTTTAAGTCTAGCCTGAACTACATGAGATCATGTCTTTTTAAGCACACGTGGGTGTGCACACACACCAAGGGCCAAAGAGATGGTTCCATGGGTAAAGGCACTCGACATCAAGCCTGATGGTTTGAATTTGATTCCCAGGACCCACGTGGTAGAAGGAGAGAATCGACTCCTATAAGTTATTCTATGACCTCTACATGTATGCCATGGCAGGTACACGCACATACACACAGAAAAATAAATAAATAATATAAGCCTAGAATAGCGTATGATCCAGCAAGTCTGCCTCTGGATGCATATCTAGATGAAAGATCTCAAAAAGGTATTTGTACAGCTTGTCCAATATCAGCAATATAAACAACAGACAAAAAAGTACAAACCACCATACTGTCCTTAGACAGGTGAGTTGATAAGTAGAAGATTGCGTGTGTGTGTGTGTGCGTGTGTGTGTGTGTGTTGCAGAATAATACTCAGAGAAGACAAGAAAAGAAAGAGTCAGGCGTGTGCTGTGATACAGAAGAATCCTTACACTCAGTGAAATAACCCATTGCAAAGAGATCAGTATTAGCTAGACATCATAGCTCATGACTGTAATCCCAGCATTCAGGAGGCTGAGACAGGAGAATTGTACATTCAAGGTCAGCCTGGGCTATAGTGAGCCTCTGTCTTATAAAATAAAACAAGAAACAAATAAATGGAATGCCAGACCAATAGTGTTATTCTATTTTTTAAGGTCCGAGAGTCATTTGAGGTGTGGATGTGGGAAGCAGAAGCAGAGACACCAAGGGCAAGTGTGAGCCATGGACTTACTGAATGTGTAACTGGAATATAGTTTCCACAATGTGGAGACAGGAGGCTGTGCCACAGGGCGACCTTCTTTGTGTCACTGAGCTGTGCTCTAAGCAGTTCTGATGGGGAAACTTACGTGGACTCTCTTCTACTACAGTTTGAAGCTATCTATTGGCCTGTGAGGTGGGTCGTTGGGGAAGAGCGCGTGCATCGCAAGTCCCAGTGAAGGAAGAGAACTGACTCCACCAGGCTGTCCTCTGGCTTCTCTGTGTAGCCCTGGCTGTCCTGGAACTGACTCTGTAGACCAGGTGGCCTTGAACTCACAGGTCTGCCTGCCTCCAGAGTTCTGGGATTAAAGGAGTATGCCACCAAGCCTGGCTCTATTTTCACACACGAGCCATGGATAAATGCACATATACAAAAAGAAATAAAATTTAAAGTAAATAGAATTTTTTTAAAAAACAGGTGTAACCTGTGCACCTATAACCCCGGGTGTTGGGAGGGGGCAGAGATAAGCACAGGGCTGGAAATGGGCAGAATCCTGGAGCCCCAAAATGACAAGCTCCAGGTTCAGTGAGAGACCCTACATCAATGAAGAAAAGTAGAGAGCGGGAGGACAGAAGTCCTCATCTGGCCTCCGCATGCACTCACAGGCTCACGCGCGCGCACGCACACACACACACACACACACACACACACACACAGTGTAGGCCAGGAGGATCAGGTGTGTCTCTTTGGAAGGCCTGAGGTGGAGGCAGAAGCGAGAAGTAACCAACTCCCCAAACTGAAGCGCAGCTGCTCCAGTGCCTCAAAAGTGGTCATGCTAGCCGAGCACTGTGGCTCACACCTCGTCTTCAAGCACTCAGCAGACTGAGACAGGGGAATCGCTCTGAGTCCAAGGCCAGCCTGGGTTACAGAGTGAGACCCTGTGTTGACTGAGGCTTCTGTCCCACCAGGTCCCACAGCCATTTAGTCCCAAATAAACACAGAGAGATCTACATTAATCATAAACTGGTTGACCTAGTATCTCAGGCTTCTTATTAACTCTTACAACTTATATTAGCCCATAATTCTTGTCTGTGTTAGCCACGTGACTTGGTACGTTTTTTGGCGAGGAAGTCACATGTTGCTTCCTCTGTGTCTGGGTGACGACTGCAGACTGAAACTTCCCAGAATTCACGTTCTTCCACCTCTACTTCCTGCCTGGCGACTGGTCAATCAGCGTTTATTTAAAATACAAGTGACAGGGTACAGACCATTGTCCCACAGCAACCCTGCATCAAAATAAGTAAACAAATAAATGCCAAAAAAAGGAGGGGTTGAAGGCGTAGTGCAATGGGTAGAGCACTTTCCCAGGATGCACAAGGCCCTAGGTTTTATCCCTAGCACCGCATCACAGGGAAGAGGAGACTAGTGCCTGCCTGTGATCGTAGCACTCAGGAGGGAGAGGCAGGAGGATCATGATTTCAAGACCATCCTCAGCTACATGTTGTGGACTATGTGAACCATCCCCCCTCCCCCCAAAAAAAACTAGCAAAAATAATACTGAGGACCATACTGCTTTTCCAGAGGACCTGCGTTTGACTCCCAGCCCTGATGTCAGGCAGCTGCAACGTCAGGGAATCCAAACCTCTGCCTCCACAGGCACCTGTATTCACAAGTACATACCCACGCACAGACATGCACACATACACATAATTTTTGCACGCCTTTAATCCCCAGTACTAGGCAAGCAGAGACAGAAGGATCTCTGTGAAGCTGAGGCCAGTCTGGTGTAGAGGGAGAGTTCCAGAATAGACTCCAAAAAAACTACACAAAGAAACCCTGTCTCACAAAAAAAAAACAACAAATAAATAAATAAATGAAGATAGATAGATGATAGATAGATAGATAGATAGTAGATAGATAGATAGATAGATAGATAGATAGATAGATAGATAGATAG